TAAATCTGGCTATTGATCAAAAGTGCCTGAAAAAACTTCTGGTCTCAGGGCTTTTATAATTACGCAAATGTGTGTATACACTTTATGGGACACTATATACATACATATTTGTATATATATTTATTTGTATTTGGTAAGCAGCAGTGATTTCATATTTTAAAATAAAAAGTTATAAAGTGGGTTATTTTGAAATTAGAATCAAAGGAGCCTAATTTTTAAAACCTGAAAAAAAGTTCAGAGGTCTCAGAAAATGCAAATGATACAGAATCTTACTTTGACAGGAGGAAAATGACAAGAAATAGAAAATATTACATTTCACAGGTCAAAACAACGTCTTACCTAGGACCAGGGACATTAAACTGGTGGCCACAAGAATTTCTAAAACATGTAATACCTGACTATTTAGCCAGGGGCACTGCCCTCTTTTCTCTTCGATTGGCAAATTTAAAAAATGACAACAGTCAACACAAGACTAGTTATCGATGTGAAAGAATCAAAATCATACCCATTATTTTGGTCAGATCGACAAAAAATATATTTTTCAGTGTGCCACAGAATTTTAATAATTAGTTTATGTGTGCCAGGAGATGAAAAAGAAAATATGATTAGAAAACTTGTTAGTTACACATTAGGAAAAATTGCCAACATCATAAAAGAACAAGGAAATCAAAGTATTGAGCTGCCATTTCACAGGGCACGTCACTTAAAAAACATTTTGCTTTGTTCCATCGTTTGAAGAAATCATCGATACACCAGTTGATATCTCAGTGTTTTAATCTCTTGAAAACTTCATTTTTGTGGTCTTCTCATTAAGGTATATTTGTCACTGCCACTAACATTTTAACATTTTAAGCAAGCACATTAATGGTCGTTTCAGGCTTGTAGGATGCGGGTTGACATGGGATTGGCACAGAGCAATGACTGATACCCTAGAAGCTCATGGAAGTACATAATCTTTTTAGAAAACTGCTTGTTGACTTCATTACTGTGACAATACACTTAATCATCCCACGTCATGTACGAGTTAATGGATACTCTGAGCCTCCAACCACAGTCCACGGCAATGACAATGTGGGGGACAACCCTGGCTTGCCTGGAGGAGAGGCTGATTTGATTAATTACCTAATGTAGTAACAAAAAGGTTAAGTAGGTCACACAGCCATCCATAATAGAAGAGGTTTAAATCTGTTAGGTAGGAGAGCTTTGACACCCTCACCAGACCCTCAGGCACACCCGGTAAAGCAGCAGTTGGTGTTAGAACATTCCTGGATGCTATCACAGGTTTGCCCCAAGAACTGGTTCTCTTTGAAAACCAGTCAAGACCTGTTTTCTGATTTCTCCCTTTTCCACGAGTCACCCTTGGGGAGAATCTGTATCTGGAATGGGGTTTTGTTGACTTCAGAGAACTCCAGGTTGCATAAGACACTGCCATTGTTGTCCAAGAGCTTATAAGAACAACAGAACATCTCCACATAGTGAGTGGATGATATTCAGGGATTCTGTCCAGGCCCTTGAAGAATCTGAACTATAAAGATTTAATTTAAAAAAAAAAAAAGAAGGGTTATTTAGGGTTGGGAGAGACTTGAGCATATTTATGTGCCGAACTTGACCTTTACCAGGAAGCAAGATTAATGAACTTCAGGATGGCAGAAGCCTTCCGTATGAGATGCCCTTTGTATCTTAGAGTGTACAGAGTACACATACAGTAGTAAGCAGGGAAAGCTGTTCAGAAGGCCTATAGGCCAATCAGAGTGAACTGATTCCCGTGTGTGTCCTTGCCATTTGGCCTTTATTTCTAGTAATAGAAAAGGCATAGCCAGAACAAACAGTTACTAGAAATTTTGTTGGTGTTTCAGGGTGAAAAATCTCATTGCCTTGGCAACAGTATATTTCAGATGCACACACTGAGCCAGTACTTACTCTCAGGGGAAAGCAAATGCCCAGCTCCTTTCATTTACTGATAGGGTGTATTGAACTCATTGCCCCTCCACGATGGAAAAAGGATCAGAAGGAACTCCCAAAGAGGTCTACTGGCAAAACCAGGTTCGCTATGAGGCTCATTTGTTTCCTTTTACAGTTTAATATTCAATGAAGATATAGTCAGAGGTAAAAAAGAAGGAATTGTATTAAGTCAAATTCAAGTCGGTGAAAAAAATCTTTATTAAAGGCATCAAAAGACCTAGAAAAAACAAAAGTCATAAAGAAGAGAGTAGTTTAAATCCAGATGAGCACAAAGCAACTACAGAAAAATATGAATTGATCTTCTCTTGGATCTCCTAGCACTTTTCTAGATTCAACCTCCTGAGATCTCTCTGGGCCTATACTCTTTCCTTTCGGTAGTGATCTTTGTAACCCTTAAAAGCCCTCACTTTTGCTGTTTTGTTTTGATAGTTTTTGGTTTTATTTAAATCTGGCTATTGATCAAAAGTGCCTGAAAAAACTTCTGGTCTCAGGGCTTTTATAATTACGCAAATGTGTGTATACACTTTATGGGACACTATATACATACATATTTGTATATATATTTATTTGTATTTGGTAAGCAGCAGTGATTTCATATTTTAAAATAAAAAGTTATAAAGTGGGTTATTTTGAAATTAACATCAAAGG